AATTCAGACATTCATAGACCTCATATGTGTATATATATGTGTGTGTGTATGTGTGTGTGTGTGTGTGTGTGTGTGTGTGTGTGTGTGTGTGTGTGTGTGTGTGTGTGTGTGTGTGTCTGTGTGTGTGTGCATATATATATACATATACATACATACATACACACACACACACACACACACACGCATATATATATATATATATATATATATATATATATATATATATATATATATATATATACATATATATATATATATATACATATATATATATATATATATATATATATATATATATATATATATATATATATACATATATATTTTTAGTGTGTGTGTGTGCATGTGTATATATATATATATATATATATATATATATATATATATATATATATATATATATATACATAAATATATACATATATATATATATATATATATATATATATATATACATATATATACATATATATATATATATATATATATATATATATACATATATATATATATATATATACATATATATACATATATATATATATATATATACATATATACATATATATATATATATATATATATATATATATATATATATATACATATATATATACATATATATATATATATATATATATATATATATATATATATATATACATATATATATACATATATACATATATATATATATATATATATATATATATATATATATATATATATATATATACATACACACACACACACACACACACACACACACACATATATATATATATATATATATATATATATATATACACACACACATACATGTGTGTGTGTGTGTGTGTGTGTGTGTGTGTGTGTGTGTGTGTGTGTGTGTGTGTGTGTGTGTGTGTGTGTGTGTGTGTGTGTGCGCACGTGTATATATACATACATATATATATATATATATATATATATATATATATATATATATATATATATATATATGCACATATATATTTATATGCACATGTATGTATTTATGTATATAAACATGTAAATGTATGAATGCGTGTATGCATTAAATATCATTCATACTCTACTAGACAACACAATATTCTTTTCACGTAATGTAAGAAACGGTCATATTTTCTAACCAGAAACTCTTAACTTAATAATAATAACCTTATACAACTTACCTGAGTGTACCTGAGTGTTCGTTAATTTGTTCTTAACCCATTCGCGCCGGGTAAAAATGAACAAAAAATGGGGGAAATGCTGTGCTCATTTTTTATATTTTTTTAATGAAATTTCTCTACACTAGATGGCTCTGCTTTACCGGATTTCATTTGGCGGGAAAATGTATTTTTACTAGTGCTATGAATATCGATGGTTATTTTTATTATAAACATTATAATTACTATAATGTTATAAACATTAGTAACAGCAAAATAAGATAACGCAAAATAATTTCGTAAATTAAAGAAAAGGGTAAACAGACGAGACAGGCAGTACAAGTGCAAGTGGAGCCATCTATGTTTGTAAACAATCAAACAAGTAAACTCACAGTAGGCCCGTCACGTATACGTGACACCCGGCGTGAATGGGTTAATGGCAGTTTTTTTCCTGGTGATTCTAAGACGTAATTTGTTCCTTGCGAATAGAAATCACACTTGATTTATTTTATAATGAGGAATAAAAGCGATCAATATGTGTACGTTGATATTTTATTGGATACACTGGTCTACGACACATTCGCTCGAGAAGTATATAGGAATGGAAAATATCTTATCATAATAACAAAGAATAAAAGGAAGTGAGATAAAAACGTAAATGAATAAAGAATAGACAGAAAATCATGAGAGTATAGATAATGACCACTAGATGGCAGAGGCTTCGGTTCTTCCAGGAGACATCTGGATTTTTTCTCAAGGGATTGGCTCGTTGTGGGAACTCGCCTGGCGACGCGGCGCTTGACGGAAACACGCACACACACGAACAAAGGCAAAAATGAACCAAAAAATATATGTATGTAAACACAGACACACGCAAACGCGCAAATACACACACACGTACATACACACACACTCACACAAACACACATAAACACACACATACACGTGTGTGTGTGTGTGTGTGTGTGTGTGTGTGGGTGTGCGCGTGTGTGTGTATACATTACTTATGCATTCCCTGTTTCATCGCGAGGTCACCCATGTCGACAGCCAATTAATTGCATTTGATTAGTAATCTTGAGTCTGATCAGATGTGATATATATATTTATCTAATTCTAAAAGGTCATGGCAACGTTCTATCAATCACACGATGAACAAAAATATAAAACAAACATATTGATCATCCTCGAGCTCTGCATAGTGAACATTATTTAACAAAAAAGAAAAAAAAAAAACGAAAAGAAAAAAAAAGTCAATTCTCTCTACTGATTAATTCACATGAAACTATACTAACCTTTATTCAAATCTTAGGTTAATAGGTGCTACCGCTCACTTAAATAAATTAAATTTACCTTCTCTTATGCCATATCGACTCTAAATTGTCCCTTCATTTGCATTAATAATCACGCGCATTCTGTAATTCAATCGTTAACCCGACCAGTCCTTAGTTTTACAAGAATTCGGGGATTTTTACCGACTACTGATGGGACTAAGAACCGTAAAGCTCATGATAGTTTTCGAAAAAAAATAAAAAAAATAGTGGTGTCTCTTTGTATCTCGATGGTGGTGTGTTGTGGTAGACGATGTTGTTGTTGTTTTATTTCTTTTCCTTGTTTATCATAATTTTCTTCTTCTCCTATCATGATTTTTTTCTTTTCTTTTCTGTTTTTCTTCTTTATTTCTATTTTTTCTATTCCTTAATTA